TCTTGGGGCAGTAATAGCATACTGGAAAAGTTTTAAACCTGGATTTACTACAGAACCCTTCTTGGGGCAGTAATAGCATACTGGAAAAGGTTCACTCCTGGATTTACTACAGAACCCTCCTTAGAGTAGTAATAGCATCCTGGAAAAGCTTTTAAACCTGGATTTACTACAGAACCCTCCTTGGGGCAGTAATAGCATCCTGGAAAAGTTTCACACCTGGATTTTCTACAGAACCCTTCTTGGAGTAGTAATAGCATCCTGGAAAAGCTTCACACCTGTATTTACTATAGAACCTGTAACGTTTAGCTTAGTTGAACTTATTTTTGTGTATGCTTAGCCAGGGGAGTAGGATTAGAAAATTAGTCTTGTACACTTTGCATTTTAATTTGGATTTTCAATTCAGTTTCACTAATTACTTGGCTGGAGGGACTTAAGTTGGCAGATCCCCATGAACAACCTTCAATCTAGGATTCCTTTTCACCATTGGATCTGCATGGTGATTCAATGTATATTCCTGATCCAACCAGTCAAGATAGTCCTTGATAACTACCCTCTGGATATCCTATTTCCACCACTGCACAGATGTTTTTAAGATGTTTCCAGTAAGAAAATGTATTTACAGGCCAGTATACTTAAGTTAATTCTAATTACATGTAGACATATATATATATCTGTATAGAGAGACTTACATGCTGGGAATCCAACACAAACTATCACCTAGAAGAACAAAAAGTATTTTAATAACAAACACCTTAATAAAAACAGTACAGAAATATCAGATTTTTGTTAACAAACGATGTAACATTATGATTTTCTCTTCAAAATTAAAACCCTAGAAGAAATTAGGTCCTAAGCCCCTGCATTTCAATCATTTTAAATTAACATCTTAAAACCAAAATAAATATCAAAGTGATACTTGCCGTAACAGCTCCTGGATTTGTGCTAAGCCTAATTTATCAATTTTCAATTCATTCCTCTATAATTTTGCAAACAATATTCCTTTGTGCAAAATAACAGTTATCTTCATGTGTTGGATCCCCCTATCATTGTACATACTCATAGCCAATCATCACATTAACATGTGGAACTACCCGTCTTTTACCTCGACCCATCATTGTGATGGTAGAGGTGAATATCAATTTAAGCTTCAATTATAATTAAGTTATTTTTCATATAATACTATACCTGTATTGTGAAAGAAAAGAACTGGATGAAACAAGATGTACCTATCTATCCAAGAGAAGGGGAAGTACAGAATTGCCAGCATCTGAGCAAGTAAAACAGTATACAAGTGACCTGTTGTTTACCTCATGTTAGAGCAAATAATAGCAGCAAGATGTAAATGTACAGAGGCATGGACACTTGAATTTCTGGCTCTAAGACAAGATACCAAAAAATCTATGAATACTGAGAGAAGGGTCATCCCAAGACCTACCATGAACTGACAAGCTAGAGGAAAAGCAGCTAGTCATGAACTGACAAACTAGAGGAGGAAAGGCAACTAGTCAACAGCACTAACCACCAATTCTTGGGCTACTTTTATTGAACAGTAGGACTTGAGTGTCCTCTTATATCTCCTAATGCACCTAAAGCCCCAAAGTGTGTAGAAACAATGGACTTTCTTATTCACAGTTGGCCACCCTAATCAATAGGCCACACCTGGTCCAACAGATGGAAATCATGAGAAAATTTGTAGCTGAGCATGCCCTCTTCGATCAACATTATTAAAGCATAAAAGAAGAATATGAGCTAGTGTGTTTGCTACAGCATGATTTTAAGGAAGTTTAAATGTTTGTAATTGGCCTACATTCTGGTTATCAGAAAAGGTTGAACTTGTTGTGATTACAATATATATACATGTTAGGAAAACAAGAGGTTTGTTTTGTTTTTAATTTCGTGCAAAGCTACTCGAGAATAATCTGCATTACCCGTTTTTAATTTAGTAATGATAAACTAGAAGGAAGGCAGCTAGTCAACACAACCCACCACCAACTCTCGGACTACTCTTTTATCAATAAATGGTAGAATTGATCGTCACACTATATCGCTCCTATGTTTGTGATGGGGATTCGAACCTATGACCTACATATTACAAGTCAAGTGCCCTAACCACTAGGTCGTGCCAGGCCCTAATAAAACAAAAGAAACACATGGGTAGACAACAGTATGGTTAGTGTACAAATTGTTAGTAAGCACTTGTAAATACATACCCTATTTATGTGAGAATAGCCATCTTTCTTCAGGTAGTTCTCTACAAAATGACTCTTTCCTGCTGTGTAAATAAAAATTCATTTTGTCGTTTGATTTGATTGCATTTATATTGTAGTGCCAAAATCTATTAAAAGTATTTTCCACCCATATTTTAGAAATATGTTTTATTAATTTTAAGTCTGTTGAGATAAATGAGAGGAAAGTCAAACATAAGGAAAAATTACTTTAACTGTTCTAAAAAAATAAACAAAAGTTTTATTGAAATATAAATTTAAATATAACCAAAGATAATGATTTACTACAAACTGCACGAGGTCAGTAAAATTCAGGGTAATACTTCCACATAAAGAAATATCTAGTGTAAAATATTTGTCAGTAGATCTTATTTCTAGCCTATCCATACTCTACTTAGTTATAACTATCAACCCAACACTTTATTACCACGATAAAAAACAACATTCACTACTAAATTAAGTCAAGTAAGAAATGAGCAAATATTGACAACAAAACTTAATAATTAATAAACTGCAGTAACATACAAGTAGCAAAAAATAACATGTTTTTAAAAGTTTATTAAGTTGTATATTTCTCATTCCAGAGTCATTCACTCTACTTAGATGGAGCAATGGAAGTGAAGGGACATCATTGAGAGAACACTATGCAACACCTGGGAAGAGATACACAAACTTTAGCCCAGTTCACTGAGTCTACTATAACTTAGCAACCATGCAAGTCTTGTTGCCATAGGAACAATGATCACATGGCCACGGAGAAGCTGGTAATATCTCTAAGTGATAACTCAAATATCCAGCAATCAATGTCCTATATTTTCAACAGAAAGAAACAAAATGAAGATTTAGTAAACACTATTATTATCTTTGTGATGTTTTATGATGCACTCTTCTTCAAGAAAACAATTCTTACCAAAGTTTAGCACTCAAATTTTGTCCAAAAGGAATATAATGAAACAACATTAAGGAACTGAACAACCAAATATTAAGTAATAAATGCCTCTAAAGTTGTCTTCTATATTTATTGTTATAATGAGGTTGGAGACAAAACCAAAAGCTCATCATAACCAGTTTTCACTTAAAAATGCATTCTGTACAGGACTCACAAGTCAGCTTTGTATTTAATAAAAGTTGCTATGTTGCTAGGTTAGCAATGTGCAATGGATGGTTTAACTGAATGTGTAGAGAATTTAATACAGGCTAGCAATGGATGGTTTAACTGAATGTGTAGAGAATTTAATACAGGCTAGCAATGGATGGTTTAACTGAATATGTAGAGAATTTAATACAGGATAGCAATGGATGGTTTAACTGAATGTGTAGAGAATTTAATACAGGCTAGCCATGTGCAATGGATTGTTTAACTGAATATGTAAAGAATTTAATACAGGCTAGCAATGTGCAATGGATGGTTTAACTGAATATGTAGAGAATTTAATATAGGCTAGCAATGTGCTATGGATAGTTTAACTGAATGTGTAGAGAATCTAATACAGGCTAGCAATGTGCAATGGATGGTTTAACTGAATATGTAGAGAATTTAATGCAGGCTAGCAATGTGCAATGGATGGTTTAACTGAATGTGTAGAGAATTTAATACAGGCTAGCAATGGATGGTTTAACTGAATGTGTAGAGAATTTAATACAGGCTAGCAATGGATGGATTAATTGAATATGTAGAGAATTTAATACAGGCTAGCAATGGATGGATTAATTGAATATGTAGAGAATTTAATACAGGCTAGCAATGTGCAATGAATGGTTTAACTGAATATATAGAGAATTTAATATAGACTAACAATGTGCAATGGATGGTTTAACTGAATGTGTGGAGAATTTAAGCAGTGAAATGGCACATAAGATTGGTAAAAATCAACAATAACAAATGCTAAAACACCATACTTTTAACTATTACTGTTCTCAGTACAAACAGTTCTCTGTTCTGTTTAAAAATCACTGTCAGAATGGTGTTGTGACTAGCTATCTTTCCTCTAGCTTGTCAGTTTATGACTAGCTACCTTTCCTCTAGCTTGTAAGTTCATGACTAGCTGCCTTTTCTCTAGCTTGTCAGTTCATGACTAGCTGCCTTTCCTCTAGCTTGTCAGTTTATGACTAGCTGCCTTTCCTCTAGCTTGTCAGTTTATGACTAGCTGCCTTTCCTCTAGCTTGTCAGTTTATGACTAGCTTGAACTGAAAGGTTAGAGGAAAGGCAGCTAGTCATAAACTGACAGGCTAGAGGAAAGGCCTGTGTTTGACTTGTTCTAGAGTACAAGTGAAGAGAAAACACCTACATAAAGCTCCAATAAATCAGTAGACTTCTTAAACAGTTGATGTATTTAGACAGCTGCTTACCTTGTTATTGTGTTTCACTTGTTCTAGAGTACAAGTGAAGAGAAAACACCTACATAAAGCTCCAGTTTTCTTGGCACAGTCAATGTACCTATGAAGAAGCAACATCAAGGTTATGACAACTTGTAAAAAATCAAAATCTGGGATACAAGAATAATACAAGATTGTTACAGCTGTACTTAGAGAAACAACTACACTTAATAAACACTTGTATGGATATGTAGAGTGTTGTTTGCTGTTTTTCCTAACTGCCATCACTTGATTAACAGTTAAATATGAAGGATTTCAGAAAGAAATAGTAACTGGATTATTTTAATAAGCTTTTTGCTACAAATACTAGTACAAAAATATAGGTTATATCAATTGTGATTTAAGATTAAATACCATCTCAAGAGACTAGTTGCCCAAAGCTGAAAGTTTTGTTATTCTCCTTCATGTAAACTACCTTACGTTCAAGCATTAAACATGAACACATAACACAATATCATATATTTCTGTAAGAAGTACTGCTCCATTGATATTTTTAGGTGTTTTCTGACATTTACAATTGGTGCAAATAAGTGAGTACCCAAAGCATTAATAAGTTGTTCATCCTGATAAACAGCTTGATCTGATGTGGGAGAAATCAGTCACAAAGTTACGTACAAAGTTTGTTTACTACAACATTCTTGTGCTTAAACAAACCAAGAGCTAAACCCTGGAATGGAACAGTTAAAAATTCTCAGAGTACGAGATAATAATTCACTGTCTATTCTGTTTATTTTGGTATGTAGGGAGAGCAGAGGTGAAACTCAATAACATCATAAACCTTAACAGAAACAAATGTATAAATATAGATATTTCTTCTATCTAAAGATCTTTATGTACTGCATACTTCCAAGGGTTTTTTTTATCTGGCTCAAAATTATATTACAAAACCACAGACAACAGGAGATAAAAGTGTGATAAGTATTACTGATAGTTAATGATAGCATGCAGTTAAGTTTTATGTTTAACTCACCTTTTTCTACTCTCGACATCAGGATTAGTATTATCAATGGCCACACTTTTCCCCTGACTCAGTTCTTTCTCACAAGTTGCTACACACTTTTGCCAGGACCCTAAGGTATCCTGTTAGTTTGAAAAAGGTGTGGATTGTATGAATAAAGTAATCCTTTAGAAGAGATTATAGCAGGATATGTATTACCTGAATAGTAAATATAAACAGAGAAATGATAGAAAAGACAAAAAGTTAAAACTTTACAACAATATTATAATATTTTAGCAAATGTTACAATATCAAAAGTACACATATCTAGGGTACAAACACAATACAATTGTTACAGATGTACTTGAAGAAATAAATCTAAATGCGTATTGAATGAGCTGAAGGTTTCCTAGTTTATTAACTATTCTTAACCCAAGTTATAAATGTCAAACTAAATATGTTTGCTAAAGAAGCATTTTATTTCAAAAATTCACAAGGGCAATCAGTTAGTTATCTATAATTATGAACTGAAAGATTAGAGGAAAGGCAGCTAGTCATAAACTGACAAGCTAGAGGAAAAGCAGCTAAACATGAACTGAAAGGTTAGAGGAAAGACAGCTAGTCATAAACTGACAAGCTAGAGGAAAGGCAGCTAAACATGAACTGAAAGGTTAGAGGAAAGTCAGCTAGTCATAAACTGACAGGCTAGAGGAAAGGCAGCTAGTCATGAACTGAAAGGTTAGAGGAAAGGGAGCTAGTCATAACAAGGTAAGCAGCTGTCTGAATAGATCAACTGTTTAAGAAGAGTACTGATTTATTGGAGGTATATGTGGGTGTTTTCTCTTCACTTGTACTCTAGAGCAAGTCAAACAAATAACAAGGTAAGCAGCTGTCTAAATAGATCAACTGTTTAAGAAGTCTACTGATTTATTGGAGGTATATGTAGGTGTTTTCTCTTCACTTGTACTCTAGAACAAGTCAAACACAATAACAAGGTAAGCAGCTGTCTGAATAGATCAGCTGTTTAAGAAGTCTACTGATTTATTGGAGGTATATATAGGTGTTTTCTCTTCACTTGTACTCTAGAACAAGTGAAACACAATAACAAAGTAAGCAGCTGTCTGAATAGATCAGCTGTTTAAGAAGTTTACTGATTTTCTGTATCCAAAATTTCAATCGGTACATATTCATTGTGCTATTACTATTGTTTGTTTAAGTATTTTGTAACCTGTAGATACATTTTGTTTGTTTAAGTATTTTGTAACCTGTAGATTCATTTTGTTTGTTTAAGTATTTTGTAACCTGTAGATTCATTTTGTTTGTTTAAGTATTTTGTAACATGTAGATACATTTTGTTTGTTTAAGTATTTTGT